CTTGTATACTATGTCTATCACAGTGTATAGGATTTTGAATCGCTGCATGCATTCAAATTCAAATTAGGTCCACCCACACCCCACGGCCAGTGTAGCTGTCAGCTCACCTTCTTCAGAAGTGTGAAAGTTTTTGCCGGTGAAGGTGTGTTTCACGATCGGTCCATAAAGAAGTGCTGATCGGTTCAAAATGACATAAGAACAGGTTCTTTTGAATAACCTATGGATTGGCACCATGATTCTGACACTTCTCAACTTATTCCTTTATATTTAGGTAGCTTTGTCTTAATTCCATGCTTGTGTAGATTGTTGAAATAGTGGGGTCAGGGGTCATACTATTGTGCACCAGATTCCTGCAAAACACTAGGTCTGGTGGGAAAATATTATGATCCTCAGACAGTGAGGCGGCGTAGTGGCAAAGCAGAGGGTTTTTTAGACTCTCCCTCAAGTTCATTTTCAAGTCCTACAAGTAGCCTAGACCAGTAAAGTAAAGTATCATTCATGGATACCAGCATTATCATACTTGAGAAATTGGTTTAGATCCACTATGCAGAGCATAGTGGCAAAGCAGAGAGTTTTTTAGACTCTTCCTCAAGTTCATTTTTGAGTCCTATAAGTAGACCAGTTAAGTATCTTGGATACCAGAATTCTCCTACATAAGAAATCTGTTAAAATCTTGAGTAAATGAGGAAATTAAAAATGAGCTGATTGTAAAAAATTTCTGGTTTGTCACTATGATGCAGAGGGTGGATGCAGCGTCGCCAATATATGGATTTTTAAGCCCAAAGCGTCGCCGGCCATTTTAAAGATGTGTCGCCGGGTAATTTTTAATGAAAAGCCATTTAAGGTGAGTAATGACGAACTATTTATAAGCCACAAACTTATTTAGAAGGTTGCATACACGTGTTACCCCAAATAACTAATTTTACCCTAAAAACAATCCGATTGTACAGCAACTTGAGCAAGTGTCAACTGAACATGTAATAAAGCAGTCTGACCGCTCTAATGTGACCGAAACTACGCAATCGAAAAAAACGTTGTTTACATTTTTTGCGGGAACTCATCGCAACTGATTTCCGGACAAGCTTTGCTGCATGGTAATCCATCCAACCCAGGTCTCATAGTGTGGCACGAGAGTCATTGTAAAATTTATCTCAAGGTCATCTGGTTGTTGAACAACCGCATGCCAGTCGATAGTCGATAGGATTTATGCAGTCGATAGTCGATAGGTTTCTTCAGTAGTTCGATAACTTAACAATGAAAACACTAGTCGTTAATAATGAGTTAACCTTAAGTCTATGTACATAATATTCTTTATATACAACAAACACCTAACAGATAACGCATTAATGGTTTAATTTTTCAAACCAGCGGTGCCTTCTTAGCCTCTTAGGTTTCTTTACTAACGAATTAGGTAGCGTGCATTGTCTCTCTTTGGATCTTAATATTTTCCCGCTAGATGGCCAAGACCTAGTGTTTTGGCAGTAGTTCGACGCGCAAATGTATGACGTCACTATTTCAAACCATCAACGAACGCATGGAACTAAAACAAAGCCTAATATAAAGGATTTTTATATATTTTCTAAAATAAAATGCAAGTTAAATCTTGGCCCAAATATCCGTGGATTTATAGCGTTTTTAATTTAGCCTCGGTGACCCATATACTCTTGCAACCAAAACATTGCAGGCAACCATGAAATTGTAACCACGGTTAGGTTAGGTTAGTTTTTTCGCCGATTTTTCCAATTTTTTTGATGAATTAGAGCCTCGGGGAAAAAAATCGGTTTTCCGATGCCGACCGCCAAAAACGGATTTCAGATTCTTTATCTACACCCCAAAAAACATATAATTAAAAAACAGCCTTTTTTTGGATGCACTTAATCTAAAGTATTACCAAATCCTTTAAGGGGACCGACCGGGCTAAAATTTTCAATTTTGGCGTTTTTCGGTTTTTGTGCTCATCTGAAAGCTGCAATTCTGCTCTTTCCAATGGCTGTCTCTTATACACATCTAGATGTGTATAAGAGACAGGTNCTGTTGGAACTTGGAATTAGTCTCACATTATGCCAAATTTAGTCACACACAGCATTGGAATTCAGGGATTTTGTAGATTTGAATTCTAAAGGCTTTTAAATAAATATGGCAACAGTTTGTGACGTTTCATTGTTGCAGGCACGTAGTGTAGTGTTTTAAGAGTGACGTAAAGCAATCAGAACTCGAGTTGCGCATACAGTGAACTTTTTATAGCCATTCATTTCTTGGTACATCCTTTATGTGTCGGAATATGGTGTGTTTACCCTAGCTGTAATGACTGCAACTCTGCAAGCATGAACATTTTCATCCCATTCATGGGTGCTTTTTGCCCAAATTGCCAAAACAAAGGTACCTACCCTCATCAGCCTCATGCTTTGCAGGCTGCAGCTGTACTTTGTACAAGAACTATAGCATTTTGATAAAATTTCATTTCATGGCTTGATATTATTTCTAAGTACCAGTACCTAAATGTTAAGGGGACCTTCTCCCTCTTTTAAAAACTTTCTCATTTACAAACAGATCGTTTTGAAACTTGGTACGCATATGTAAAACAGAAATCTAAAAACTTTTTATTCATGTCAATTTTTTGAAAAAAAATGAAAGAAAACATGAAATTCATAGAAAACAGCAAAAAAGTGGGTACAGTACTTTGAAAATCATTTTTTCAATCAAACAAAAATACATGGCATTAGAGGTGCAAGATTTCATACCTACTGAAATTATATATTAGAGCTGTGATCTTTCATAAAAAGTATGACTTTTCCAGCCCTGTTCCAGAATCCAGACTGTGGCATGCTTAATTCATAGTGGCAAATGACTAATGAGGGATTTTTTAGACTTGGGATTTTTTAGACTTGGTTCAGTTCAAATTGGCTGATCTAGTTCAAAATTTTATTCACTATTAACCTCTGAGAGTAATTACTAGGGATGCTAACAATATTAATGGAGGTCTACAAAAAAAACATGCCATTATGCCATGCTTGTTTATAAATTGAACAGTTCCACATCTTGCTCCTTCTGACTTTGTCACATGTTCTGGCCCATAAACTACCTACCTATATGCTGACTGGCCTGACTACAAGCTAACCAATTTTAGCCATATTTTAAACTAAAAAAATAATTTCAAACAAACAAACCATTTCCACCACTAATTTTTGAAAAAAAATCCTGAAATTATACCTTGTTGATTTGTAGATACTAATTTATGATCAAGAATTTTGCTGTAAAATGAACTGACTATACGTATCTGAAATTAAATTGACTGTTTTACTATCCAGAAAGAGCTACAAGTATGGATGAAATCATCTGCTAGATTTCTGATTTTGTAAAAAGTAGGTATTTGCAGTGGTTAAATTTTAATAAAAAGTATACCTATACAAGTCATAAATTAAAAGTTAAAGAGTGTAATCTGGAGCATTGGCTTTTATGTATTTGTTAACAGGCATGTGTGACTGCCAAACTATGAAATTAGGCCAAAGCTAAATATGAAAAAGCTAAAACAAACCCTGCTACCAATGATTACACATTTTTTCTAATAACTTGAAATTGTTATTCAAAATCGGATAGTGTAATTCATATTGCTCAATCAAATGGGGGTTACACTGTGAAATATATTGCATAGGTACATTGTTGAAAATGAAATTATTTGTTGCAAGAAAAAATTTGATCGAACAATAAAAGATTAGTATTTTCATTTTTTAATTACCTACTTCATTTTTTTCAGGTTGAATTGACGAAACTGCAATTTCTGCCTGCTGCTGGGTCTGAAGTGTCAAAAGAAGAACTGCTTGTGGCAAGTGAGGCAACAATCAATTGTGTTATTTATTATTAGAAAGAGAATTTTGCTTTTAACATTTCTGATACCGGGTATTAATGTTTTATGAATCCTAGTTGCATACTTTAGAAACCAGTAGATGAGATTTGCTTGCAAGATTCAATTTTCCAGAACCAATTCCAGACCCCCAATTTGTTGAACCAAAAACAAATTAAGGTGGAAGTTTTTTCAGCATCAGTTTTTCAAGGTTAAAGTAGGATTTCCCAATTTTATTTTATGATCTCTAAATTTCTGTTAGATACTTAGGGGGTGTGAGAAATGCTTGCAGTACAGTAAACGTAGCCAAGAAAGTCCTGTCTCCATACTTTTATTACTTTGTCTGTGCACTAACAACAAAAAATTTTTTAAAATAACTTTTAGTATCATGGTTTGTTTAGTGGAAAAATATAATCTATCATATTTAAACATAATAGATCATGAGCTAATATAATTCTTACAGCCTATCGGTGCTGCTCTGAAATGCATTCCAAATTTACTGATGATCTTGGGTGCCATTTCATGGTAGTCCAACAGACCAATGATTTATCTTCATATAAATTTCAACAGCCGTGACTATTTAGGGATTATGGAAGACCAAGTTCATCCAATAGTTGAAGCACTGTTTCCAGAGGGGAACGCCATCTTTCATGATGATAAGGCGCCTATCCAGACAGCTGGAATTGTTAAAAAAAGGCACGAGGAACATTCTAATGAATTTGAGCATATCATCCAGCCACCACTATTACCAAGCCTGAATATTATTGAGCATTTATGGTTGAATTTAGAGATCACGAGGGAAGCAAGTCAGAAATTGCTTCCCTCGTCATCCGCTAAAAGAGCTGGAGGGAGTTTTAACTGAAGATGGGTAAAATTCCTTTAGAAACTATTTGTATTAATCAATACCTGGGAGAATTGAGTCTGTAATTGCCGCCAAAGGTGGACATAGCTAGCCCATACTAAAATATATTTTGTGGATTTCTCAGGTGTTTCCCCTTAATTTGTCTAACCCCTGACTATATTGTTTTTGTATAGAGTATTACTAAATATAACATAGCTTATTTTCTACATACTTTTTAGGACTAAAATAAGATTGAATTTTAATTTGTTACATCTATATAACTGGTTATGAATTGTTTGTGCATAACTAACCTGCTGCTCTCCACATCAGGAAATACCCTGGAAATCGGCGCCCTGTGGAGCATTGCAAAGAAGGACATCCCTTTATTTGAGCGTTACATGTCCATGCTCAAAGTTTACTATAAGGATTACAAGTGAGTGTCTCCAAAATTTTACACATTTATAAGATACTTTCAAGCATCTGCTCTGAGATAATTTTCACGTATATTTTTTCAAAGTGAATCCTCATGCAATTATAACTAACTTTGCAAATCCAGCCAAAAAAATTTCAGTCGGTGACTGAATAACAAATTTTTTACCTTTTCTTTTTGGTTAATATTGCTATTAATTTTTCAACTTTTTAACGCTTTATAGTCTCAATCTTCATCTTTTTCTCCTTAGGGATGCTATTGTTGAGTCGTGTTACATGTACGAGCTACTGGGTCTCGACCTGCTATGCCTGCTAGCTCAAAACAAGGCAAGTTATAAACGCAATATAGTATATAAAGTTATAGTTATAAGTTATAATTAGCAGAAATAGATACGAATAAATAATAGCAGAAATAGATACGGCAAGTTATAAACATGAGCAGACTGGCCTAGTCTCTATTTACAATTTCAAGGGAATAGAAGCTGAAGGCGGCAGAGAAATATAAAATATACCTACACTATACAGGGATATACGGTATATTATAAATCCACAGAGATTTTAAAATTCATAGGTGAGAGACACCTGTTGTGGAAGTTAAAACTACATAATCACTATCAGACACCGGTTGTTTAGTGTCTGTCTGATTGTTCTGGCAAATCTGTCTAAATGTTATTAAAATCTCAATACCTTTTAATGTTTCTTATATAATGTTGAGAATTTTACTTCATAAGCCCAAATTCTGAACAGATGTATTAACCTCTTCTGACTCATTTCCTTGCCATTGAAGGGACACGACAAATTTTTAACTTATTCTATTCCTAAAAAAGAACCAAATAAATTCATTATTTGTAAAAATCAAATATTCTTTTGACGGATTACGGTTTTGTATTAATTATTATTTAAGAAGAATATTAGAATTCATATTTTTGCAGTATAGGCATTTATCATTAATTAATTTATCATGCACCACAAAACACAGGTCGGGGAGTTCCACACGGCCCTGGAGCTGCTGCCTCGGGAGGTGCTACAGGAGAACGTCTACATCAGACACCCTGTCGCCATGGAGCAATACCTCATGGAAGGAGCGTACAATAAGGTATGATGACACCATGTATTAATGGAGCATATGACTGTATATCGACATGCCATGGAGCAATACCTCATGGAAGGAGCATACAATAAGGTACGATGACACCATGTATTAATTATACCGGGTGTGAGTCATAATATACAATTATTATTTGTAATAAAGATATAATAATCTTACAATATATAATGCCCACTTCATTTTATTGCAAAACTGCTTTGGCAATCGTTTTGTGATCAAGCGTGCTATAAAATTGGAAAATTTCATTATTTATAAAAAGTATATTATAGTTAACCTGCAGAGTATTCATTTTAGTCACATAACTTGAATGATAGTTTCTAATTTGTGGATATTATTTCCCGATGTCAATATTTGAATGCGTTTCTAGTTTTCCTCAAGCATTTTCCTGTCTTGTCTTTGGCATTGGAGTGTTTTTTTTTATCTCTGAAATTTATTCAAACCAAATTGTTTGTATCCAGTGTTATTATACCTCTTCATTCCTTCCCTTTAAGCGTATTGTTGAGAGTATTTCACCGCAAATAAAATTGCTATTGTTTGACCAGATCTACTTGGCAAAAGGAGAGGTTCCGTCAGATCGTTACAAGTTCTTCATTGACGAGCTCCTGACAACCATACGGGAAGACATTGCCGACTGTCTTGAGAATGCTTACGAGCGCATCAGACCTGAGGATATTGGTCGTATGCTCTACCTCTCTGACACTGCGGAGATCAGGGCTTACTGCAAACAGGTATATACAGTTATATGGTGCTGCAAACAGGTATATACAGTTATACGGTGCTACAAACAGATATATACGGTTATATGGTACTGCAAACAGGTACATACAGTTATATGATGCTGCAAACAGGTATATACAGTTATACGATGCTGCAAACAGGTATATACAGTTATATGGTACTGCAAACAGGTACATACAGTTATATGATGCTGCAAACAGGTATATACAGTTATACGATGCTGCAAACAGGTATATACAGTTATACGGTGCTGCAAACAGGTATATACAGTTATACGGTGCTGCAAACAGGTATATACAGCTATACGATGCTGCAAACAGGTATATACAGTTATATGGTGCTACAAACAGGTACGTATATACGGTTATACGATGCTGCAAACAGGTATATGCAGTTATACGGTGCTGCAGACGGGTATTTGCAAGATAGGTACTGCTAACGGGTATATACACGATAGTGATAACAGATATATATATATGTATATACATACAATACTTATTTCTTATTGTCTCGAAGTCTCTCTATCGAACAACTTCATCTCAAGATCCGCGATGAATTGAACTTGCTCCGTGACACCCATGGCCACAACGCCAAACCCCGAACTATACGCAGCGGCGGCACCTTCGAAAAAGGAGTACTGCAAGAATCTGGTGTGATCTTTAAATTTTGCTTCAAAGAAGGTTGTAGACTTCTTCATCTTTGGGATTACATCGGACTAATTGNAGCAGCACCTACTGCCCTGTCTCTTATACACATCTAGATGTGTATAAGAGACAGCTATGTGTCTCTATACATAATTTAAATCACTTTTCCTGTTGAGTTTGTGTACTTACATACGTACATTAAAATACGATTTTTCAAGTGTACGAATATTTATTTCCCCCCACTGTACATAAAATACTGTGAACCGGTAAACAATACTGCAAACAGGCACATGCTGATACTGTGATCGCTTTTAAATGATAATAATGAAATACCTGTTAGCATTTTCATTGTGGCCAATTACTTGCAATAATGGCTGACTCTCTTCAGGTACTCCAATTATTTCGAGTCAGTTGTCATACGATAGTTGTAATGACGAACATTTATTTACTTACCCATAATTTATTTACTTACTCTCATATTTACTTACTTACTTAAACTACTTACTCATAACCAGGGCATTCAAATAATGTTTGTTAATCTGCTGTTTGATGGTAAGTGGTAACCTACCTTATGTTTAAATCAATATTATTGTTGGAAGACTGATATCTTTACTATTTCACTATCACTAACTGAAAACCTGCTTTCATATTCGTAAGAGCATCAGTACGATCACCACTTACTTACAGTCAGCATGCCTCATAGACAATTTATAGCCTTCCTTTTAGTATAGAATAATATAGTCTTATACCAGATATAGGTACCATTGATGGGAAAAAGATTTAAAGGCATTGTATAGCCCAGGAACTGATGGTGTAATGCATCTCTTGAACGGCCTGCGGTACAATCATGTCCAGAATTGAGGCAGGAGTAGCAATGGAATGTTTTAGTACCTCCGTAAAAAAACACTAGTTGAACACTACGACTAGCTTACATGTTTATTTTTGAGTAGGATTTATTCTGTATTTTGGATGCTCTTTTTCTTGTGTTATTTTACTCGTGATTCTTATTTATCACCAACAGAGAGGCTGGTCAAACGACAGCAGCGGCTACCTGGTGTTTGGCAGCGGCGGCACAAAGCAGCAGCACGAGGAGCTCAAGCTGCCCTCCACCACCCTAGCCGAGCAGATGATCAGCTATGCTAGGGAGATGGAACAAATTGTCTAATCTTTTTCTACTGTATTGCGTCTTTCCGCTTAAATAATAAACCATTACTATAAAGTAAATCACTTCATTTTTTCTTATCGCCCCTGCTAACGATATTGTTAAATCTTGAATTGTTACGTAGGGTCTTCCCGACCGGGAGCGCAGCCGTGGGTAACAAAATTGACTCGTAAACAGGCCCTGGGCCCAACGCCAACCATCAGCATGCAATATCTACACATAGCCTCAGACCAATGAGCTGTGGGTAACTCCGGCTAACAGTAAATCCGCATTGCACAACACAGCCATTGCTTCACAGCGCCGGAGCGCAACAGGCCCTACCGCAACAGGCGGCACATGTTAGGTTAGGTTAGGTTACGTTAGGAGTAGCTGTTGCGGTAGGGCCTGTTGCGCCTTGGCCAGTTGGGCTCTGGCCTGTATGCGCTCCGGCCTGTGACAGAACGGCGCTATTGTGGTGGGCGCTTTGTGTCGAAAGCTGTGACGATGCCCGACTGCGTTACGCTCGGGAAGGTATATGAATCGCACTGTTGACTTTCAGTTACCAGGTTTCGATTGTTTTCATAACTTAAATGAAGAGCAATGCAGTAGAGGTGTAGCTCTGTGGATTAAAACTTCTTATAGGGCCCAGCAAGTTAAGTTATCTGCAGAGCATCTATCAGCTAGAGAATCAGTGTGGTGCGAACTTACTCTAAAAGGCAAGTATAGCCTCCTCATAGGGGTCCTTTATAGATCACCTAACAGCTCCTCTGATAACGATAATGTACTAAACAGCCTTTTACCGAGCATGACTTTCAGCAGCTCGCTTACGTTAATCGTTGGTGGCTTCTCCTAGAGATGGGAATCACCCAGCATCCCTGTTCTTGCAGTCTGTGCGAGACTCATTTTTAATCCAGAACATCGCCAAGCCAACCTATTTTAGGGGTAAACAAACCCTAAATATTCTAGATCTCGTGTTTACTAGTGAAGAATCAATGACAGATGAGCTTCGCCACGAGGCTCCTTTGGGCAAAAGCCACCACCAATCATTACTTTTCAGTATTAAGTGCTGTGCAGATAAGACGCTTCGGAAGCGTGAACGTTTGAACCTTGCGAAAGGCGATTATGATGAACTCCGTGAAGCGGTGAATATTTCGGACTGTATTAAGGACATGAGCGTGACTGATTCATGGTCATTTCTCAAAAACACGGTTATGTCTGCAGTTGATGCCTGTGTACCTAAGATTACGCTTGGAGGAGTCAAAAAGTCCCAGTGGATGAACAGTACAGTTAAAGCTCAGCTAAAGACCAAGAAGGAAGCCTACAAGCGTTATTTACGAACTCGCAGCGATTCTGATTATATCCTGCATGCAAAGAGCTCGAAATCAAGCTAAAAAATGTCTGTCGCACTGCAGTGAAAAACTTCGAAAAAATGTTGCTAAAAATGCAAAAAAGAATCCGAAAGCCTTGTACGCTAGTTCGAAGTGTAAGTCAAAGGACGGTATATCTGATTTAAAATTAGACCAACGAAAGATTTCCTCTGATGAGGGCAAGGCTAACGTTCTTAATCAGTTCTTCAGCAGTGTGTTCACAGATGAGGACTTGAACAGTATTCGATATTGAGGAGCGCCCAGTCGGAGCGAAGTTAACAGGTTTTGAAATACACGAAGAAGAGGTTCTCAAGCGCCTGGTAGCTACAACATGGTTTTATTGCCGGTAGATCCTGCACCACTAACTTATTATCTACGTTGAACGATTGGACTCGCCTTCTGGACGAAAGGGAGCCAGTGGATGCATTGTACCTCGATTTTGCCAAAACATTTGACAGTGTTCTACATGAGCGGCAAGTTGTTGCGTGAAGTGTAGTCTTTGGGAATTGAGGGGAACGTACTCCAATGGATCTAATGTTGCTAAGAAGGCCTGCGTTTTTCGTTCACTTATATGATGGTTGTCGTACGATAGACGTGCAATATTCGCGTATAAACATTTTCTAGTAATACGGTAAGTAATCAATTGGTTTATGTTGACGTATTTATTTAAATTATTTGTTCAGAATACATGACAATTTTGAAAAATCTTTAAAAAGTGGGAAGCGTTAAACTCACGAGAAATTGAAAATATATTAGCTACCCGTCAAAAATTCATGTGGCGTTTGTCTGTATATTTCTTATTAAATTATTTTTCAACGTTTCTAACAAATTTTTTAAGCAGCCGAACTAAAATTAGATTGAAAACTTTGAAATTAAAATTAGATTGAAAACGTAAAATGAAGGAAAGAAATGTAAACTAGAATTGTATTGAAAGCTACGAGGTTTGAAATTAAGAAATTCAAATTAGGAATAACCTAATTTCATCGACCGAAAGTGATACCATTAATTATGAATGTGAAGAAGGGTGACTGGGGTTATGGAATAATTTGTGAGAGAGCAAAAGAGAGTTATTGACGTAAAACTGTCTCGTTTGTTTATCAGTTGACATTTATTTCCCATTGAGCAATGGAAATATAGTGGCTAATTTTGCAAATCAAAATCGATTTCGTCGATAATTTATGAGATTATTCTTATATTTGTTTATTAACGGAAGATTAATCACAAACTTTTGTCATAACATAATATATCTGTATGAAGAACGAAAAAAATTGTCCAGTAACAAAAAGCCATGCCGGTGATTTCGTGAAAATTGAGCCCTACGTGGTCTTAGAGTTCACTGGCTCAGCGGTTAAAGTTCAGAGTACCAAGATTTATCGCAGATAGGCACGGGTTCGATCCCAGCTCTGTGCGCGAGTTTCGGGTCAGAATCGGCACGGAGGCCGGGCGCGGGCAAAAGCAGATTTGGAGCAGTGAATTGCGAGTTCGAGAGCGCAAATTGCTGCGACTGCTCTGCGATGTCAATAATCGGCTACAGGCCTACGGCCTAATAAACGCTGAAACCGCTATTATTATTATTAAAATTTCGAGAAAGAATAGCCTACAATTTTATAAATAGAAATATTTTCTAATGAACGTATGTATAATGGACTAATGATAGCATGGGTTAGGACCTAATCTGCGGGAGAGCCAGGGAGTAGCTATGAATGGACTATATACGCGCAGGAGGAATGTGGCGAGACTGGAGGTTCGCTGCACGATGATAAGGCACAGGCAAGGTCGTCATTTGTAACCGATAATTAAGTTAAGCCTATGCCGTTCACCACCAGATTATTCAAGCTTTTAGTAAAATATAAATGTAAAATGCCTAATTGCCACTTTAACTTCAAGAAAATGTATAAATAGTGCGCCTTCAAATTTCCTTCATTACTGTCAATCGTCAACTTAAATCTGCATCAAAGTGTGGCGTCACCTGCTAATAGCTTAGTTACGGCTCAAAAATAAGATAGCCGAAACGTTAGAATATATGGATTTTTATTTCAGAACTGCGATCGTGTCTTTTTTATCCAGAATCATTATTCGACGCCTAAGTGTAATTGAAAAGGAAGTTTTTAGAAAACTTGAAAAACTGTTGAAACTCTATATAAAAATAAAGTCCGATTTATTATTTCTCTACTTGTTAAGTTGTTACCAGTTACCACTTACAGGTATTTTTTCATGTTTCTGTTTGCTTAAAGTTATTTTTACACAGTTATTTTTTTGTTTCACCTTCCCTACATGGATGTCTACTTTAATCTATCAATCTCAAAAATAATCCTCACATATATACAAATAAAAGACTGAATTTTATATGTAAATGTGGATAATTTTTGAGATTGGTAGATTAAAGTAGAAATCCATGTAGGGAAGGTAAAACATAAAAATAACTGTAACTTTTATTTACTGTATCTAACCCGTTCTAGTTCGGTTAGGTTAATTGCAATAAAGTTGCATTGATATGTTTTGAAAATGTTTTATTATCATTAAATGTTTATGAGTAAATCCCAATAGCAGAACAATAAATATTTAGAGATTTCCAATAATTTTGGCGATTGTAGCGGCTAATGTAGCGGCGCTACATTTTACTGCAGCAGTAGCGGTAGCGCTCGCTACAATCTAGAGTGGGTGTAGCGGTAGCGGTAGCGCCCGCTACATTTAGAGCATGTAGCGGTAGCGGTAGCGCCGCTACATTTCAAAGTAGCGCTGCCCAGCTCTGAGTTTTCATTATAGTTGCTTGTGTTTGTTGCAAGTAAAGGTAGGCTTCACGAGAGAACAAATGAAGAGTGGATGGCAAAGATTGTGGGTCTGTCTGAGGGAGCAACTGTAGCTATTTTTGAGAGTGTGAAGAGATATTTGGAGAGCGTGTGGAGGTTGAGGGAGAGGAGGAGGATGATAGGAGTGGAGGGTTGAGAGAGGGGAGGGTGACCGTGCAGAATGTTTTAGGACATTGTTTCTATTTTTTTAGGATATTGGCATGCATAACGGAATGTTTCAGCTTTTTAGGATTGTTGTGTATGAGTATTAATTGAACTTTTTGTTAATTTACGAGTGTGACGTGAACTTTTAATTTTTCGACGCTAGTAAAAGAGATTTCATGCAGCGCGTATGACCGATTTAAAGGTCGTGACCGGAGGTCAGTACGCACCCAATTCAAATTCCAATTCCAGATAAAAAGAAATTAACTGCCAGCTTATCTCAGTTCATTCCTTTCCTTCATGTTGATCTTTATTAATTCAATTTTAATGGGATGTTCGACAGCGATTTTAAGAGCTCAAGTGCTTTTTTTTTGACATTCCAGCCTCTGGCTGCTTCGGTCATGCTTCCTTAATTTTGGGAATTGGATTAGGTTTCTGCAGTGGCTACTGACGGACGGGGCCGCCATCTTGCTTCCATTCACTCAGGGTTGTCTCCAGCCCCATGGATTGCTTGTCATTCTCGCCATATTTCAGTGGTCTTAATTAACAATTTACTAGGGTGAACTGTAACCACTAGGGTGGCCCAGTGGTTACAGTTCAGAGTACCAATTAAGAGTGGAGCAGAGAGGTGCGGGTTCGATCCCAGCTCTGAGCGCCAGTTTATGGTTAGGATCGGCGAGGAGACCGGGCGGTTAAGCACACCAGAATTGGAGCAGTGAGTTACGTGTTCGAAACCGCAACAAATTGTGGACGTTTTGCGATGTTAAG